ATATCTTATTAATGTTATGTTTTATATTTCTTTATACAAAAAGCAGCATTTACACTAAAAGTGTTTTTCGAATATTCCAAGACATTTGGGCGTATAGGATAAAAACTAATGTGATTTTTGGATTTAGCATGCTTGAATTAAATAGAGACATAATTATATCAGCTGAAAAAATACTTAGTTGACCAGTGTATTTATAAATAAACTTATCTATATTTTTATTATCTACAACTAAAACTTTAATTAGCTCATCAAAGCTATATTAACTCATTCTTTTCTTTTTTTTAATTTAGAAATTTTAATGATCTATTTCATTATGGTATTTGTTAAACAATTAAGAATATATAACGTATACAACTATTTTAATTTTAAAATGCCCTTAATAATTTGTTTACATATTCCATTTGTGACTTAAACTTTGAAAGTGTTACTTTTTAAAAAAATATTGCACAACAAAAATTATTAGAAACAAAAACTAATGTATTTACATATGGGATTGTTTTTCAGATGTAATTACTTCTGGAAAAAAAAGTTAACCAATAATGCATTATTTTAACCAGATGTAGTTACATATAGGATTTTTTTTGGATGAAATTACATCTGGAAAAAATATTAACTCATAATGCATTATTTTAACCAGATGGAATTTTCAGATGTAACTACATCTGGAGAATATTCTTCCAGATGTTATTGGACTTAGAGAAAAGTTACATCTTCCTAAAGATGTTATACAGGATCGTTGAATTTTCAGATGATATTGCACAGATGTTGTTAGAGTAAAAAAAAAATACAGATTATCTTGGACAAAAGTGTATAGATGATATTGGACTGGCGATGTTGTTGGACAGGCGTAGTAATCTTTTACCTGTTGTTGTACTCTTTATAGGAAAATGTTTTAGTATCTTCAATTGCATATTGTTTATTGGGCTTTCCCTAGCAAAAGGCTTATATAAATTTTTTTTCTTAGTTTTGGAATAAAAAAATAATGCTAGGTTTAATACCTATTAAATTGAAAAAAGAAAGGTTTAAAAATATTTTTAGATATTTTTTTCGAATTTTTTCAATTTTAAAATCTTAAATTTAATATCTTATATATATATATAATAGAATCTTAAATCTTATAGATTATTTAATTTTTTTAGAATTTTTTCTTATTTTGATTTGTGGTTATTTTTGTTATTTAGAAGAATTTAAAACACAAGGATATTACTGGAAGACTTCAAAACATAAAGATATGACTTAGTATTGCGTGGCTTCTATCTTCTCAATTGATACATAAATGATTTTTTAAAGACAGTTCTGCTTTATATGTGTTATTGTTATTTAATACATGCCAATAATCCAAAAATTATTTTGCAAAATGGTTTATGGATCGTTGACATGTTAATGTGAAAGTTTCAATCTTCAATTTTGGAGAAAGATTCGTCTTAAATCAAAAGGTTATAATATGCTTGGCTATTTAGTTCAACAATTTTCAATGCCGATGATTGAGTGGTAAAAAACTTATTTATATTTAACAAAATCGTTCGCTCTTGTTAAGAAATATGTTATAAATTATTTTTTTGATGAACTGAAGTAGTTTTATATATGCATTTGTATTACTTAGCTTGAAAATTTAATTATTTTTGTTACAGATTGATTAGTAATAATCTTTATTATTTTATTTATTTGATGTTCTGTGTACTGCTATGCAGTTTTTAAACCACGTTAGTAATAAATAGTTTTTAATACATAAATTACTGCCGTCTATAGGGTAATTTTATTAGAGTTTATTTCTTTGAGAATTTTATATAAATATTTTGTTTATTCTATGTATATAATCGTCATTGTCTTTGTTACTATCAAAAAAGATTGGTTGCAGGAAAAGTCTAACAGTATAGTAGATTATCCCAACTAGCACAATACGTTGGGTCACTGTTGTTTTGCAAGTATACTACGTTAACCCAACGTAGTGTGCTAGCTGGAATCCCTAGAACACGTTTTAAAGAACTTTTTTTGCGAGAAACCTAATAATATTGTTTTTAAATATCTTGTCAAATCTTAAACAAATTGGGTTTACTGAATTTAAACGACTTGAAAAAAAAAAAAAGAGAGAAAACAAAATGTAAAGTTTTGAATCAAAATTTTTTTTGAAACAACTTCTAGATAGGAAACTTATGGCATAATGAAAACTGTACATGTGTGAAAGAATAGCTTGAATAACTTAGATGAGGTCGACAGGACATCTTTTAACGTTCCGATTTTCAGTTTTCAGTATGAATTTAAACCGAAATATCTTTTTATGACAAGAATAAGATATCCATTTATTCTTGTCATAAAAAGAACTATCATTGCTTTTTTGCAATGATAGTATGAATATGCAAATCCTTTGGATTGGGTCAGAACTCTAACTACTCCTCCACGGCTGCTTTAAAATTAATAAATTACAAAAATTAATTCTTATAGATTTTCAAATAACGTACTAAAAACACGTCTTGGCTTGTTTTTAGGTAACCCGTAGTAAGTTACTTTTATTTGACGTTATAAAACATCTTTAACGTCGTAATGAAGCCATTTTGTGACGTTCAGAATTATGCTAAATAGCAAATGGAATCGATGTCTTTTTAGGACGTCATTAAAAAGATATTTTTGAGACGTCCATAAGTCGTGTTTTAAAACGAATTAAAAAAGTAAGGAATCGTCCATAAATTACGCAACGCTAAATTTCACTAATAAACAAAACAAAAAATCTAAAAAGTTTTCGCTTGCAGAGCCTTAAGTTAAACAAAAAATCAAAACAACGCATAAGTATAATAAAAATCGCCGTGTAAAAGAGCTAAAGATCTCCTTTTTAAATAAATCTAGTGTTTTTTATGGACGAATTCTGATTGAAAACATGGGTGTATAAAAAAAAATAAAAAAATTACAGATTAAAGCACTTCTTGTGTCATTAAACACATGATTTGGTAGAAAAATACGTATTCCCTACTTATAAAATTATTCAGTTTTTTCTTTCTCCTAAATAATTTGCGAAAATAAAGTTACATCGTTTTCGCACCCAAGTCTTTAGTTGTTTGATAACTTCATTTTATTTCCTTATGCTTAAATTTTTACCCCACAGTATTTCTTAAAAATACCAGCAACAACAAAAAAAAAATCAAACCAAATAAACGTTTTAAAAAATATATTTTCGATAATTTTGAAAGAATTTTTATAAATTAAACTTCTTGTTCCTCCTCTTAAAGAAACGACTCTTCGAACAAATGTTATCCTTTGCCCTCTTTTTATCCAGGTGCATGCTTTAGTGTATTTGCAATCACAATTTGACAGTCATTTTTGGTGTAGTAATCGACTAAACAGTCTTAAACATAAAATATTTTAAAAATAATATAAAGTATTCATACTTTATGAGAAAAAAAATTAACAATAAAAATCATAATAATAAAAAAAGTCATAACAATAACCTTATAAGTGGCTCATAGGATAAGAAACACTAAAAATCAAAACTTTGCTTTTTATTTTTTTAATATTATTTAAAATTTATTCTAGATTCAGAAAATATATACATTTATGTATATTTTAAGTCAGTATTTTATGTAAAATTCATTTTTTAGATGTACAGACTTTTAAGAATCTATAAGCAACAGCTTTTTTTTTTGAACTAAAACTTTAGCCAACACACCAGAGTTCAAAAATATGTGTTTCTGGTATAAAATGATATTACCCCGGAAGTTTCAATGGATTTAGCACACTTGATAAGCAATAAAAACTTATTAATTTTGTAACTAGTATCCAGTATTACAAAATGGTTAATTGTTCTTCTACTTTGCTACATAACTTTGGATGGTTCTTTAAAGATGATTAAAGTCAAAGCATTAGTTACAGCATTAGGATGCATATTACAATTTTTACACTTGTTCAATTAAACTAGTTGGTTTCATTTTGCAATGACTTTTTATCAACTCATTTAAATTAACAAAATTTTCAGAAAAAAAAAATTAACAATTTATGAGTGAAGAAGCATAGTAAGTGATGATGTTTAGTAACATCAGTTGTCTGAAAGATCTCTTGAACTTCAAATAAAAAAATGGAAAGAAATTCAATTGTGATAATCATAAAAATATAAGTTATATATCATAAAAACATTAAAAAACAAAACAAAAATTTGTATTTAAAGAAAAAATAAATTCCTGATTGCACTGATAAAGTTAGAGCAGTTGCAAATGAAGTGTGAAAGAATTGGTTGCAAATTTAGAAACAGTGATTCAAATTTAATTCAGACAGCCCAAAAATGGCACCGAAAATGCAAAAGATTTGAAATTTTTTTTTTTTCATAGATTACCTAGTGTTGCCAGATGTCCAGCTTTTATAGAGAACACATTAAAAATCTTTATTTTTAAAGTTCGATCCTTAAAATAAATGATATTAGCAACCTAAATCCAATGAAACTTTTGAGATCATATATATTTAAACCTAAATTGCATATTTTTTGAACTGTGGCACTAAATTATTTTTTCAATTCAAAAACAATAGCTAAAATATAAATAAATATATATATATATATATATATATATATATATATATATATATATATATATATATATATATATATATATATATATATATATATGTATATATATATATATATATATATATATATATATTTTAGCATATATATATCATATATATATATATCATATATATATGCTAAAATATATATATCATATATATATATATCATATATATATGCTAAAATATATATATCATATATATATATATGATATATATATATATATATATATATCATATATATATGATATATATGATATATATATGGTCGGGGGGGGGGAATTGAGTTTTAAGACTAAGTCTAGATCCTTATTTGCCACGTATAGGTTGGGTATAATATATCAAAATTTTTGGCATAACCCATTCCAAAAATAGAAAAAAACTATACAAAGAGTAGACCTGCAAAATGAGCCCTTTATTGGTTATGGACCCCATTTAGTATAAATAAAAAAATATAAATTTGTGAAGATCCAATAAGTAAAGAATATATACACTCATATTAAAAATATAAAAATTATATAATCATCTGTTTTAGGTTCTTTTTGGTATTATTTTTAGGTAAAAGTTTACGGTGATGACAGCCTGCTCGAATAAAACCATCTCTTTAATCGTGTCCATAGACAGCAGCACAAGCTCTTGTTGTTTGTTTAACAGCCCGCTCAATACTCTGTGTGTGGCATGGTATGGAATCAACAACCATGGAATTCACATTCAAATCAACTATTGTCTCAGTAGAAAAACTACATGTTTGAATCGGCCCAAATACATTATGAGTCCAAGAACATAACTCAGTAAGATTCTTAGCATCTATGTTTAAAAAAGCAGAATGAGTCCTTTCTCGGACAGATGTTTCTCCTTTGTCAAAACCTCTTCTAATCTGCAGAATACGATCTACTGCAAAAATCTGTTCTTCCACTATAGAGCTACAAAGCAAAGTGGTTAGAACAGCTTCACTGTGAGAAAACCAGGCTCCTAATATAATATATTTTTCAACAATATTCCTAGTAACTTGGCTTTGCATTTTTACTAATCTCAAGGTTTCTAGCACATGTCTTGAACCCTCAATAAAAGACCACCTCACTTTTATATCAAACCACATTGGATAGTAAACACCAACAATATATTCAACTAAACAACTTAAATTGCTAAAGTTTTGCCCAGACAGACCATGAACTGACACCCAAATTCGCATCAGTCTATTTGCAGTTGTCAACCATCTGCTGTGATTAACAGAACCACACTCCATCTTTATAAGATCTATAGGCATGTTACCTGAACGTATAGCTAAAACCATTTTATAACCATAGAGCTGATCAGTTGAAAGATCATCAATCACATCTTTACTTAATTCGACTGGTCTTTTACCAATGGTTATTGTTGGAAATGCCTGTGCTACTGGAAGTAGTGTAGCACAATTTAATAATTTACCCATAATCTTCCAGTGTTAGTAGCTGTAGAGTCAGCTCCAATATACTGTAAGTTAATATCAAATTTTCTACACCAATCTGCTATAGGTTTAGCTATCATTAATGCAGGTTTTTCGCCCACGCCAGGCTTAAGAGGAGAGAAATGGAATACATATTTTCCACCTGGTTCACTAGCGACAGTGTAGAAGTCCATTTTTATTGTTTTAGAATAATATTTTAATCTTGTTTTATCTTGATTATTAATAAGAGTTAAATTCTTTCTATTGTCAAAAAATAATGCTTTTATTTCTTCTGACTGATACAACTGTAAATCTTCTTTCTGGACTTTTTCCATTACTTTTTTCGTTTCCCTGTGAATTTTATGGTGGTCAATAATCAATTTATCATTTGTTTTATTAACAATGCCAAGATCTACAAGAACTGCAGAAGAAATAGCAGCAGCTTCTCTGTAACTTGTTCTGTATCTTAAAACTGTTTGAGCAAGAAGAGGAAAGTGATTTGTATTGATGACAGATTCCTTTATCCCGTCATCAATTTCAGTGTCAACAAACTGGTTAGAAGATACGTTCGCTTTCTCAATGACATCTACCTCTATTTCTTCATTAAAAAACTTGTAATTATTTAACTCTACTTTTTTCTCCTCTAATTTTTTGAAGATTAAAGGTTATTCTTTTCTTTTGCATTGCTTCGCTAGTCGAGTGTGTTCTTTTTTATCTATACAATGTATTTGGTAAACACTTTTCATTCCGATTTTCAATCTCTGAGCTTTGATAAACTTCAGCTCTATTTTAGGAATTTTTAAATTGGATGGACAATTACAGGTTGGAGAAATAGCAGAATGAGAACATTTAGGGTCAGAACAAGTTGGATCTTCCTTGCATATAATAATGTGCTTGCAACGAAGAATATCAAACAATACATCAATTTCATTATATAACTTATTCTTTTGAGAACTTTTCACTCTTCCCCAAACAGTTTGAGTAACTCTTTTCCAATCTTTTTCAATTCTCTGAACTATATAGTGATTAGGTTGAATTTGAATATTGATATTTACTTTTTTATACTGTGCAACAATCTAAATAAATAAAAAATATTATTTAAAATAGCAAAATATAATAATGAAACAGTAGACAATAAATATATATTATACAACAATTTTATTAAAATATTAGACTTTGCTAACTTTACAAGATGATTTTTTGGCAGCTTCGTGAACAATCTCTTTTGAAACATACTGAAGGTTAGTGTCTAAGGACTCCATTTCTAACAACATTAGTTGTAAAATTTTTCAAGTTTTTCAATTTAGTTGTAACTTATCATTAAACAAATTCTTGGTTTGCAAAATTTTTCAAGTGAATATTTTGGTATAAAATATAATTAATAAAAAGTATAGAAATTCAATTTAAAAACAAAAAAGTCAACTTTAGATTATTTTTGATTCTTTAAATCATAAACATAAACAAAAATACATTGAAAAATTACAAAATTTTAGTAATTATCCTAAAAGTTATTAATTTTTTCTCTGAACTTATTTAAAACTCTTCTTTAAATAACTAAATAACTCTTTAAACTTTGCACAACAAAATCAAATATAATTTTAAAACGTAAACACTGCAAATTATATAAAATAAATAAAAAATAATTTTACAGACCATTAAAAGTTAAAGTTAAAGGTTTTTGTTTTGCTATAAAAATATTTAATATAATTTTTATAATAATATATTTTATACAAACAAAATAAAATTTATTGATAAAATAAAATTTATTTAGTAGTTAAAAAATATGTGTATTAATTTAATTTATATAAGTCTGTTTTTTGTTTTTTTTACGATGTTTTCGTTAATTCTGTTTTCGACCAAAAATAGTAACTATTTAATTTGATCATTAAAAAATATTTAAAACTTCATTTTGGTAATTTATTTTAAAGTTGTGAAAAAAAGAATTGCATAGTAAACCTTAATATGTCTATGGACATCTGAAAATAACATTTAAATTTTAAATTTCGAAAAAAATGTTTTTTCACTACACCCTACTCATATATATATATATATATATATATATATATATATATATATATATATATATATATATATATATATATATATATATATATATATATATATATATATATATATATATATATATATATATATATATTACTATATGATATATATATATATATTTAATGAGTATATATATATATATATATATATCATATATATATACTCATTATATATATATATATATATATATATATATATATATATATATATATATATATATATATATATATATATATATAATATATATATATATATATATATATATATATATATATATATATATTAATACAATTAGATATAGACTGCCAATAAGATGTTTTTTTCTTTTTCTTAATTTTTCAGTAGTTTATTAGATTTTTTATGTCTATGGACATCTGAAAATAACATTTAAATTTTAAATTTCGAAAAAAAAGTTTTTTCACTACACCCTACTCAAGCATATATATATATATATATATATATATATATATATATATATATATATATATATATATATATATATATATATATATATATATATATATATATATATATATATATATATACATATATATATATATATATATATATATATATATATATATATATATATATATATATATATATATATATATATATATATATATATTAATACAATTAGATATAGACTGCCAATAAGATGTTTTTTTCTTTTTCTTAATTTTTCAGTAGTTTATTAGATTTTTTATGTCTATGGACATCTGAAAATAACATTTAAATTTTAAATTTCGAAAAAAAAGTTTTTTCACTACACCCTACTCAAGCATATATATATATATATATATATATATATATATATATATATATATATATATATATATATATATATATATATATATATATATATATATATATATATATATATATATATATATATATATATATATACATATATATATATATATATATATATATATATATATATATATATATATATATATATATATATATATATATATATTAATACAATTAGATATAGACTGCCAATAAGATGTTTTTTTCTTTTTCTTAATTTTTCAGTAGTTTATTAGATTTTTTATATTAATTAATATTAGTTTGTATATTTTTACTAGTTTACTTTATTTTAAAAGTGAAAATTACTATTTATTTTAGTGTGACTTGTTTATAGTTTCTAAAATTTTATTGGTTTCATTGAAATTGAAAACATAAGCATTGATTACTATAATTCTAGCTATAGGTATAATGGTATTTTAAAAACAGTTTTCCCTTTTTATGTAAACATTTGCAATATATCTTTTAAATTTTCTTTATATTATCACATGTTTTATGATGTCAGTATACATTGGCATTTTTTTCTGTGTGTATAAATAGTATTTTTTAATTACGCAATAATACATTATTATTAAAAATGTTTTTAATAATAAAAGTATAATATTGTTTATAATTTACACAAAAAGCAACTTTAATTTTTGTTTTTAGTACAGTTAAAGAGTATTTAAACACACACTTCTTTTTACCGGCCAAAACTTGCAGTTGTTGTAAAAATAGATATGTACCTTTTTTATTCATTAACAGTGTTAAGTCATTTGTTATAACTATTATTTAGTTTAAACATTTGTAAACCACATTTCTTTAGGGTTTTGAAAAGATGCAAAAGTTGGTTTTGCAACTTTACAAGGGATAGTATTCGTTTTAAGGAATTTTGTAATGAACCCTGTATATGCATTGCACAAATCTTGCCCGTCTTTCTATCATCATGTCCCTCCAAGTAGTTCTCTTACTACTGTTTTAAGTAGTTTATATAATTCACCACTTGAGCACATAAGTAATTTATCACCACTAAATCACAAGCCTTTATTTTCCAAACATTCTGTTAACAATGAATAGGCATGAATCAAGAGGAGAAATATGCCCTAGAAAAAAAAGGTTTGAATACCAGATTGTCCTATTTAACTTCTCAGCTTGCTGTTACATCCAGCAAGTATTGAAAAAAATTAGTAATAGTGACGGCAAAATTAAAAAGCATGGCATACAAGTTGAAAGTACTGAGACAAAAATTACATAAAAGAAACAAACTGTTAAAGTTTTAAGAGCTGAACTTAGAGATCTTAAACAAAATTTGCAAACATATTATTACAGTAAGATAATATACAATCTTAAAGCTTAAAAAAAAGGCAATGAAAATTTCAGAATTTTAAAAGCTAAATTAAGTTAAAGTTGTATATAATATTAAGACAAATAAAATGCTTATAGCTAGTCACGAATATTTGCTTGCATATATGTAAAGCAGTTGATCATCTAACTTTTATTTAGATTTTCATTTAGCATCTTTTAATGATAGTGATCAATCGATCATCTCAAATATATCAAACGCAATGTCAGGCAAAGTTGCAATTAACCATCTTACCATAAGCAAACTGTGTGACATTCAAGGGGAAAGTTTGAATGAGCTAAACTGCCATTTACACGCTCTTGATATAATTGCTACCTCATGGCTGGGTATGATTGTATGGCATTTAAAATAGTTTTGGCTATGAACAAGTTGAGGTTTAAACATGGCAAAGGTGATTTAAAAAGATTTGTTAGTTTTTAGCTGATCAAAAACTACCACGAGGTATCATTCCAAGGTATCCAGGAAATCGTCTTCATATTTTTTTTCATACTTGTTTTATTTTTATTAAAAATTAAAAGAGTTTGAGCATTTTTTAACCATTTAACATTAATATGCAGAACTATACAAAAAGTTCTTAGAGCTGTATTTTGTAACAAAACAGCTCTAAAGAAAAAGTGTGTTCTTGCATAATTTGGAAAACCACCTCCTCAAAGTCACATAAAACTTTGTCATCCAGTTTCCAGCCTGGATGGCAAAGTTTTGTGTGACTGTTGAGGAGGCAAATTTTGACCATTAAAGTGGAATCCATTAAAAAGTATTTTACAAAAAATTGCCGATTCTAAATCAAATCCAGGTTCACTTTTGAAAATGACTTTGAACCAAATATTTTAGATCCAATAAAAAATATTTTGTTTGATTGATGAACACTTTATCAATATGACTTTTGCTTGTCTTATTGCAGTGGGAGACGTCATAACTCATCAATGTAAGAGATATTTCTCACTTTCTATTAACCAGACTCTCAAGGAGGAAGTAGCATGTGCAAGGCTTCACGATATAAATAGTGAAGAGTTAATGGGAATGTTTAGTGAGGCTGAAGAAAGATCACCTAATGCAACAGTTTGTTATGTTTCATACAAATTAATTTACCTAGATAGTTTAAATCAATTATCTAGAGAAAATATTGTTATGTGGTGGATTCAGAAACCCATAAAAATGTAGTTATGTGGTCTATTCAGAAACCCATAAAAATATAGTTATGTGGTCTATTCAGTAACCCATAAAAATATAGTTATGTGGTGTATTCAGAAACCCATAAAAAAAGATGATAAATCAAATGAAGCATAATGATATATGAGTAGATATTTCAAAAAAATATGTATGCAAATGCCAAAAAATGGATGAAAAAGACAAAAGAAAGTTAAAATGACAGTTGCTTGAACTCTTTTACAATGAAATAAAGTGTTTAAATACATTGTAAATACAACTTCATGACTAAGATGATGTAATGTCAGATAGAATTGTTGGGCAAAAACTTTGCCATGAATGGTACAATAGTAAGTATTCAAAGTATGACATGTATGATCGTAGAGAAGAAAAACTTGATAAAACAAAACAAGACAAAGTTTACACAATTTCTTACTGGAATAAAGGTAATACTGATACTGAAGCTGTTGACTACAACATGAAAAAATTTCAGCTTCTGCTGATGTTGGACTAGGAGAGTTGATTTTTTTTTGAAGTGTAATATGTAACAACTTATGATATTACTTGTAATGAAGCTCTAAAAATAGATACTGCAAGTGATAAAACTTACAAAACAGATACGGCATATGATGAAACTTGTATAAAGGTATTGTAAGTAATAAAACTTGAAGTAGTCATATCAAGTCAGGTATGCCTGGTATTAAACCATATGTTTTTGTTTTACTTTTTTTTATAAATGTTTTTAGAGAAGAATAAAAGTATTTGACTTGCAATGACCTTTGCACAAGTGTTGTGACTTGCAAAATATTTTGATAGGCAGCTCTGGCTTATCCTCACGTGGTGTCTATTGTTACAAATGATTATTAAAGTGTTCCATTTATGAAATTGACTATTTTAATTATTTACTAAAAGCTAAGACAACTATTTAAACTTAGGATATCTAAAATGTTTTAATACAGAACAATAAAATTGATTGTTACATTTTTTTATAGGATACAACACTGATATTTT